AAGAGAGCAATTGGAAAGAAAGAGAGCAATTGAAAATAAACCCCTCCAACTCAGCTCCCAGTTTTGCAGTGCCTAGGAAAAACAGTATTAGTAGTGGAGCATGTCGTGTAAGCGTGCACTCGTTCACAGGACCATGTGTGCACTTACACACACACATTTGTCTTTACCATCAATCCCTTGGCCTAAAGAATCAAAGATACAACGTGCTCCGAACAAGTAGTACCGAATGGCCACGGGATTGTAGAACCTAAGCAAGAGGAAAAGAAATAATGCTTATCTCTTTCTCTATGAAAAGTCAGTAAATACGGAATTGCCCATTCACCTCTGTCTGCAGGATGGCAGCTCTTTGCTCTTTAGCTGTAAGAGACTCTTTCAGAACTTCAATATGCTGCTTGCTGTCAGAGAACTGATTTGTGAGGGTCTCCAGCTTCGTCTGCAAGGCCAGCAACTCGGTGTCTTTGCGGGACAGCTCCTGTTTCACCTGACCAATCTGAAAAAGAAAAGACAGGCAAAGGATAAAACAATTTATACCTTCCTTACAAAAATAACTATAAATTCACCAAACAGTAGGATGCTCTAAACTTATCCCACGGAACTGTGAAGCCTTCAGTTATCTTGAACACAAGGCCAGCAAAAATTTGTGTCATGAGCAAGAAAGAAGGAAAAAGAGGGGGCAGCAAGACCATCAATTTTTCAAGAGAGGTTTTTTTTAACAGAGTCAGTCTGTTCTTAGTCATCATTCAAAGGACTGACCAAATCCAACTACTTAGCAGGGATAAGGTTTTAATGAAGACAGAGCAGAATTGTAATGAGAACGTACCCTTACATTGGAGTATCAGAAAAGGATGAGATACCTACAGGTCTCTCTCAGAAGCACGATGTTTGCTTTGAAATATCAGATCAGTGAGATTCCATCCATCTCTCCATCTCTCAATCCAGCCTCATGCTTACAGAGCATGTAAAGACACCTTTACTTTTCCCACTGTTTACAAAACCAGCATTCCAACCTTCTAAGAAATATCTTTTAATTTACGGAAGCTTTTTAAAGCAGATGCAAATATACATCAAAACAACATGAAAACTGGGTTTGGAATCGCACTTTGTTGAGAGCAACTTCCTAGATTTAATTTAATGCATTAAATCAGTACAGAAATGCCAATTTATTTTAACAAACATAGATTGGATTGTCATTTAAAAAGACAAACACTAAGAAATTCCAAAAGTAGAGCATTGAAATGTGATGAAAGCTCACTCTAAGTGCAATAATGACCCAGGACAATTTTGATGTAAATCTGCAGATTTTTTTTTTTTTTTTTTAATTACAGAGGACAGGAAAGTCTGAAGTTTATAGTCATCTTCAAGTTTATAGTCAGCTTTCTGATTTGCCTCTGATACATCTCATAGAATAAAATCGCAATGTTTTACTTTCACATATCATCTAGCAGAGGTGGACATATCTCTAAAAACTACACAGTTTGGTTTTTTTTTAACTTGAACAATTTTGTTTGTGACATTAAAAAAAAAATCCCTCAATGCCAAAAGTATGTTGTTCAACACTTCAAAACATAAATTAAAGGGCATCAGGCCATCTTCCATTTTTGGGAATGTGTCAAGAACAAAATTAAATTGATATAAACTTCTTTTTTTTTTAAATTAGAATAAGTGCATGCATTAGTGGAGATAACTGAGAGAAAAAGCTTAGGTAAATATGACTTTATCTTGACAACGTTGTTTCAATAATGGACAATTAAAGAAAGAAAACTCTTTACCAAAGAGTATTAAAATAGCATCAAAAGATGTCTTCAAGGATTCCTGTGTTCCAGTGTGAAAGAGCATATACGAGGAAACGTGGAAGAGGAGGACATGTATCTCAAAAAACCTCACACAAACTAATTTTTTAAAATGGAATAACAGGAAGGAGTACAAGAAGAATTTGATTTACAGAACTATTCAATAGTTTATTGTTCATTTAATTCAAACATAGGTTGTTTTTTTTTTTCATATTTTTACTGAAAGCAAGTATGTTCACAGAATTATCTCACCACCTATTTAAACCAGATACAAAAGTATTTATGTTAGCAGCACTATTTCTGCCGTCAGCTACTGACCAATACAACCAGTTGCATAATACTGCTAGGCACAGCAGAATAGCTGGGAAGATATGAAATATTTACTGCTAATTATGTTTTCTGGGGTATCTAAACAAAAAAGCCTCCTTAAAAAATCTCAGATGACACAAACTTTTTCAATTAGTAGGTAGCTTGAATCGTAGTAAAACTTTCTCAAACCAGTTTGGTCTTGCTTTGAGAAGATAAATTCTTTTTGGGGTCGTCTCAGAAGAGATGTTTACCCTAAATACTTACGTTTTGGTGAAATGCTCTCATCTAAACACAATCACATTCCATTACATTAGAATTCCCAAGTAGCACCGTAAGATCATTCCCTCTAGAAATCCCCACTTCAGAGCTGTAAGCCCACACTGCCAACGTGCTAAAGCTCTTCAGGAAGAACGCAGCACATCCCATTTCAAGTTGCAAGAGAAGTTAAGACAGCATCAAGTGCTCACACCTCTCTTCTTGGTGAGACACTGTGATCATTCAGCAAATGCACTAATTTCACAGCAAAGGAATAACCTAAATTCATGCTGCTAAAATTAAAGAATCAGTTTTAAAAAGTGTTCAGCATCCAGCTTTTGTTATTTTTTTGTGAAACAATATTAAGAGGCTTCAGCACATGTTTTCAAATTATTTTTGTTCTACTAGGGAAAGTAAATCTCTCTGAAAGTCTGACCCCAAAATGGGTGCTGAATACTTTTTGAAAATCTGCTTCGACAGAGAAGAATAAGTTACTGTTAAAACAGCTCATACCATTAAAAAAACAGTAACAAAACAAATACAGATGTTCAGTTGAAGAGTGATGTTATGGACACCAAAACCATGTGAACAAAAAGGCAGCTACAAGGCTGAGCAGGCTGTTAGTTCTACTGTTATATCAAGTCATAAAGAAGGTAAGAGAAGAAAAGCTACCCCGAAAGCCAGAGAGCTAGCAAGCCCCAGTGAGTGGCCACTGCACACAAAAGATAAATCTTACTGCAGAGACCTCGGCCTGAAGACCAGCCACTCTTTTTTTCAGGTCCTCCCCTTGAGCCTCTTTGGCACTTAGCTCTTCCTTCAGTTGCTCTACCTGTCACGACATTGTTATGCTTTTAAATATTTATCATTTGTCAGCTTCTAGTTAGCCTACTTCCATCCAAGGAACTAAAAGTGACAAAGAATTGAACAGAAGGATCAACACTGGTCACTCATTTTCTCTTCCGTTCTTCCTTGAGTCTTCCCAAAAGTTTAATGTCTCTGTAATTTCAAATAGGCTGCCAGATAAAAACTGCATTATGAAACAAAGATGTATAGTTATGGTTATGTTTATGTATGTCAAGCACGGGGCACTTCACCCAACTGTTTCAGAACTGGAATTCATGAGGAAATTAGGACAGGAAAAGGGACATCTTTCGGTTTAAGAGAAATAAAGTTAATTGCCAAGACACAGCCACAGATAATTATACAATACAATACTTGAAAAGATAAACGTTGTGCAGTTACCAAACAAGGTAGGACAGCAAAACATCAGGATTGGAGCTGGCTACAAGTCATGAGTCAACAGTTATCGAAAAGGAGCGAATCTTCTGCAGGAAAATAAATGAGCAGACACAACAGACAGAGGAGTTCCCGAAACTGAGTAGCTGAACAGGTCTACAGGCCCAGAGAGGCAGAGGAGGAGGGAAATTGAAGAGTTGCTAACAAAGGAAGAAGGAAAGGATGGAAGGATGAGGTGTTAATCATCCTTCTATTCCTAATTTCAAGGAGGTATCCTTCAACTCCTAGAAGTAACTCGGGATAAAGAGCAAAAGTATAAAAGAACAGATGTGGTTATCTTGATGTAAATCAGTGAGCTGGTGTGAGGGAAGTGGAAGAAACACATAACACGTTTCTACTTTAGGACAAGTAACACTTCTCCAAGAAATCTTCTCCAGCGTTCTTTTTTTGACAAATAATTTCAAGCAGGACAAAAGCAGAAGGTCACAACTGTTCAGGACATAGTAATTTTCAACCTCTGTTCCAGGTGTCTGTACGCTGCTTGCAGAGAGTACACAAAAGCTAGCTAAGAAAAGCAAGACTGCTCACAATACACTTAAATTTGCTGCACAAGGTGGCCTAAATCTTCATTAGAAAATGTTAGGGCCCACAAAAAGACTGAGAAACACTTCTTTGAGAGAAACAAAGAATAAATTGACTTTGGTCATAGACAATTGAGTAGTCAGTGTCCATCTTTATACCTAAGGATCAACATGTATCACTGCTGTATCTGTCCTGTATTCCCAACGGCATAAATTAATGGTGGCACCACCACTGTTGTACAATCTACTCTCATTCTGATTTCACTGCTGGAAGGACAGTGTAATGGAAAGCCGTTACGGTGACAGTTCATGCTCTTTTCAGTCTTTACATAATAAAAAGATCTACTAGTTATAGCACAACAGCTGAAAAAAGAAACGCTCTTTTTTCAATAGGCTACATTTGAAAAGACTCTAGACCAAATAAAACCTAAAAACTATAATGGATTAGCAATACTCTAAAGATAAACACAAAATCCTCCTGAAATAAAGTTAGGTCAGAATTCGGGTCGTTGACCTTACTAAACCACCATTACAACATTTTCAAATTTGAATTTAAAAGTCTCTTAAATACTTCTAAGTTATTTCAGTGGCTTCATAGCAGAATACAAACAAACTCTGTTTCCCAGCACTTGAATGGGAACCTAGACCATGACTCCTTACTGGAGTATGAACACTTTTTTCATCTGTTCGCTAAGCACAGTTTATCTTACTACTGCCATTTGTTTTCTCGATACCTTATTTTTCATGAATTTGGAATGACTGCGGTACACCTCCATTTGCTTCATTTCTTCTTCACGTTCCTCTGTGCTCAGAGCTCCATTGGACTTCAACATCTGAATCTCCTCTTCCAAATCCCGGAGGCCACGCTCCATGGAAGAAATTTTTGAATCCTGAAAACGATTAGAAGAGTCAGATAAAGATACAGAGTTACATGATTTGTTAACATACCACTGAAGTAAAAAAAAAGTAAATAATTTGTTGGACATACACCTGCCCTTGACATTTACTCCTAAAGTTCCTACAGAAACCAGTCTACACCTCTCTACATGGCATCTGGCTGAGTGCTCAAGTAGTCATTTTTCATTTTTTTTTATACCTTTCAAGGAAAGCAAGAATTTAGTACTGAAAGAAAGCATGGCTAGGGTCAGGGACACAGTACATGAAGAATCAATAAAGGAAAGGTTGCCTTGTAATGCAAAGCCAGCATAAACCAGAGAAATTTAATTCTAATTGAATGAACAGCAAAATGTGGCTGCAAGAACGGCAAAAAAATAGGTTTGTGCTACTAGAAATTTAAGTGGGGTCACAACTGGAGAATATAAAAAGCACCATAAGCAAGGAAAAGATGCAACAATCTAGTTTGGAGTGGACAATCTAGTTTTGAGAGGATAAAGCAGTAGAGGATCCTTCAAGTATTCTGGTTCATTTATTCAGCATATAAAACACTTCCATGGTTAAAAAACATAGATCTGGAAAAATAAAAAAGTAAGAACAGATTCATACAGCACACAGAGCTTCATGCATTCTCATGAACACGGATATGTATTTATGAATTATAATCTCTCAAAGCAGTCTATTTTTTTTATTTCATTTCTCCAAAATATTTCGTCTTTCCTGAAATACAGGTAGGATTTGAAACTACCCTCCATTCTTTCATAAACCAATCCTTCATATTTTTTTTGTCTGATAATAAAAGCACAGCTGAAAAAAAAAGCATGAAAGATTTTCACATACATCATGAGATAAGATTTTTCTAAAGGACCATTATGAAGATCTGGTCAGATCTCCTGCTTAATTTTTGATGCTTAAGTTAAAATCAGTAAAGCTGATTCTGCAACAAGAAATTAGAGAGGAAGTAAGGTGAAGTGATGTGTTGTAATTTACAACAGTATTTAGTTTCAGCGCTCACATCGTTTCCCAGAAATACCGGCGTTTCTCTTTTGATAGTAAAGATGGCTTATTGTTACCAGATGGTCAATTAGTTTTCATTACTAGGGACCACAAAGATGACTAATAAAAGAAAGATGGTAAATGGAAGGCTCCAGAGTAGAAAGATGGGAAATTAGTATGGAAAACATTGAGATGAAATGGAAAGAGTCATAAGGAAAAAAACAGAAGGAAAAGAAAGAAAAAGGGACAGATAAAGAAGAAGAGGAAAAGGGAGGATATAAAAATGGAAGACAATAGTTTGCAAAGACACTTTCCAACTTTTTAACTGTATTTGTCCAAACCCCACTGATGTACCTTATGGACCATACAAAATGAAATATGATTGCATAAAACGGTGTAAACCACACACTCCACTTGTGGCTCCTGACCTCTTGGCAAATTGCCATTGTTCCATTAGATACTTGAGTTAATGCTTGCAGAATTCAATCACAAATTCATCCATAAAAGTTAGGTTTGTGATGTCATACGGGTCTCTTTCTAGCTATACGACCCATTCTTTAAGTGGGTTGTGAGTTTACAAACTGCCAACTTCGTTCACACACAGGATGCAAAGCAGTATTTCAAACATTGATACTATAAAAAGAAAATAAATCACACCATCATAAAAATCTACTAATCTATCATTCCCATCCTTGTAATACAATAGACTCTTGTGTAACTGAAAGAAATCTGTACATGCTGCTGCAGGCAGACAGAAGGCAGGTTTCTATTGTGTCATGAAGCAGCTCTGCCTCTTCATGGTTCAATAATAAAAATAAAATAATGATAAATAGCAAAATAGTATAAAATAAATACATCTATTTTAAATGAGAAGACTAATAGAAGTATATGGTATTAGTAGAGTCACCCTTCATACGAAAACCCGTTTTCCAGAGAACAAACTCTACTGCTACGTATATGCAATCATTTACCTTCATCTCAATAACAGTTTGCAGAGCCTTTGTCTTGGCCGTGTCAGGAGCATTTTCAAATCGACGATGGATTTCCTGTACCAGCAGAAAAGAAAGCAGGAGTTAGCCTAATGGCATGGTGTCCCACTTACTAAATACAAACAAAATTTCTAGAAACTTCTCTAATACATAGCATAATTCAGTGCTGCTTTCTGATGTTACCAGTTCATATATTGTGTTTTATCATTTCTCAGATCAAAGAAAGGATAGGCAAAAGTTTCTTCAACAAAATCACAGCCCCAGTTAAAAAGGCACAACAGAAACTGCAGATTTACCTACTTACTCAAAATAAACTGTTGAAACGACAGCTGAATCTACTGCGAACCCCTAAGATTTGTCTGCTAAACTAATCTAAACTTTTATTAGTTTCTCACTGAAGACATCCCACGGTGGGGTGACCCCGGTCGGACGCCAGGTGCCCACCAAAAGCGCTCCATCATTCCCTCTCCCCAATTGGACAGGGGAGAGAAAACATATCAACAGGCTCATGGGTTGAGATAAGGACAGGGAGAAACCACTCACTAATTACCATCATGGGCAAACCAAACTTGGGGAAATTACTTTAATTTACTACCAATCAAATCAGAGTAGGATAACGAGAAATCAAACCAAAACTTTAAAACATATTCCCAATTTTCTCTCCCTCCTTCTCCCCTCGCAGCGCATGGGAACAGAGAATGCGGGTTGAGGTCAGTTCATCACACGTTGTTTCTGCTGCTCCTTCCTCCTCAGGGGGAGGACTCCTCACACTCTTCCTCTGCTCCAGCGTGGGGTCCCTCCCATGGGAGACAGTCCTCCATGAACTTCTCCAACCTGAGTCCTTCTCACAGGCTGCAGTTCTTCATGAACTGCTCCAGCATGAGTCCTTTCTATGGTGTGCAGTACTTAACAGACTGGCCAGGGGCAGGGGGGGCCCTTCGGG